AAGCGGATATCGTCCTCTTTTGAAAGTAGTTTCGCTTTCACAACGAAACACACAGCTCCTTCACGACATGGCGGCGGCGGCACAACAATACTACAGCGAGAATAAACGTTACGCCTTCTTTCTTTGCGTGAACATTTGGGCGGCGTTATGCAAATCTTCCCACATAGTGAGGTAGATATGTGGGGGCGTGTTAGAACGAGCCGTTTTAGGTAGGCGTGGCTGACTCTTAACTTTTATAAAGAATATCTCTTTGGATTTAAGACTTTAGTCTTTGCAACTTTACAGAGCTTGTAGCACTCCAAAGAGAAAGGAAAAATTGAAATTGCATCATATGACCCCTTTAACATTTCCTGCATAATTATGTACATAAAGAAATATATTTAGTCTTGGATCAGTTACCTGTGTCGGCAGTGTGCAGCTGACACACCCACCTAAACTATTTCAATACATCACTTATCCTGCACAAAAAGACCATAAACATTGCAGATAACATCTGAAGTAACAATTAATTTACAAACAAATATCCTAAAAACAATCCTGTGTGACTGATAGGCTTCAGATCAGGTGGTTTTAGCTGTCAGTCAATGATGCTCTCTGCCAGTAGGGAATAGTAAGATGACGACTCGAACACTTCCGGTGGCTTCACCGTCAAACGACAGTTTAGAACGCAATGAGCAATCCAGTCATTACATAGATCAGTGGTCTGAACCCTGACTGTCTTAAATGCTGTGTTTCAGAAAATTTATTTATTTAAAGGCTGTTTTGTGGTCAGTGCCTGCAGAGGGAGAAGAGGTTAAAGAAGAAAGCTCAGGGGAGGAAGACCCAGGAACGTTAGAGATGGTGGAGGTGACACTGGGAACTCTGGACCTCAGAGAACATGAGGTCCAGCTTAACAAGAAGAGAAGAAGGAAAAGGAAAGAGAAGAGAGAAGGTAAAGACCTTTGCAGAACAAAAGGAAAATGCGTTTAGTAAAGATGGAGAAGTTTAGTAAAATATGTCCTGGTTTTTTCTTGCGTCTTCAGACTCAAGCAACCGTGAAATAACTAAGGAAGAGGCAAATTATGAAATACTGGAAGAAGGTGAACTGGAATGTGAAGATGATGACTCTAAAGAGATGCAGAGAAAGTCAACGAGCGGGAGGAAACCCAAAGGCAAAAAACGTCAGCTAGAAGAAGGTAAAACACTGATATTGGAGCCAACAGTCAACTCACAGTTCGCCGGTAATAAAATGTTTCTGAGCAGCAAATCAGCATATTAGATTTAATTATGAAGTATCATGTGACACTGAAGACTGGAGAAATAGTGGCTGAAAATTCAGCTTTACCATTACAGGAATAAGTTACATTTTAAAATATATTCAAATAGAAAACAGTTATTATAAAATTTTATTTTTTATACTTCTATCTCTTTTTAGAAGAATTGGATGAGTCTTGGGAATATAGTTTGAGGGATGCTCTCTACACCGCCTGTAAAACGGGGGACATCCAATCATTACGCACCCTCCTGCAACTACCAGAGGACCAGGGAGAGGAAAAAGGCAAAGGAGAGAGAAACGCCAAAGAGAATCCTATCTCAAGGGTTTCATGTCTTCTCAACAAGCCCATAGACTCAGCAGGCTTTACTTTACTGCATGTGGCATCAGCAGCTGGACAGAGTTCAGTCATCAGACTGTTAATGGATGAAGGGAGTGATCCAGCTAACAAGTGAGCACATACAGAATCGCAGCAATAAAAATGTACTGCATGGATAAGCTTTCATGTGGCCAGATGGATTGTTCAATTCTAAATAGTGGCCAATGTCTTTTTCAGGGATAAGAAAGGACAGACTCCATATGGAGTTGCTCCAGAAAAAGATACTCGCAACACATTCAGAAAATACATGGCCGAACACCCTCAGAAGTATGACTACACTAAAGCACAGGTAAACAAATCTATCTTATGATGACTAGCAACACAACAAATAGTAACAAAACCTTCATATGCATGGCAAAACAACAACAACAAAAAAAACAGTGAAAGTCAAGAGACCACAAATAAAAATGATTCTATTTTTCACTTTAAAACAAATAATTTTTTAATGCATAAAATATATTTGCTAAAAGAGATGAAGATAAAAAGGTTTAATGTGTCATTACATCATTTTTAATTATTTCTTTTGACTAGTGGTTTCAGACTTGCATTAAATACAAAGGTTTAATAATTTTTTTAATTAATTAATTTCATCATGCTACTATTTTATATCATAACATTTTTTTAAATATTTCAAAATACTTTTTTTCAGTTTTAAACAAATTGTTTTTTACTACACTAAAGCACAGGTAAACAAATCTATCTTATGATGACTAGCAACACAACAAATAGTAACAAAACCTTCATATGCATGGCAAAACAACAACAACAACAAAAAACAGTGAAAGTCAGAGACCACAAATAAAAATGATTCTATTTTTCACTTTAAAACAAAAATTTTTTAATGCATAAAATATATTTGCTAAAAGAGATGAAGATAAAAGGGTTTAATGTGTCATTACATCATTTTTAATTATTTCTTTTGACTAGTGGTTTCAGACTTGCATTAAATACAACGGTTTAATAATTTTTTTAATTAATTTATTTCATCATGCTACTATTTTATATCATAACATTTTTTTAAACATTTCGTATATATATATATATATTATTCATTTATTTCTCCTTTATTTCTGAGTGGCTAGAATGTTTTTATTTTATTCCAAATATTTTACATCATGCCTGCCCCACAAAAACATTGAATAATTATGAGACTTAAATGAGATTTAAATAATCTTCTTTTGAATCAGAGAAACTTTAATGCGCATCAAGGTCTTGACTTCTTAGATTTGTCAGTACTAAAATTAACTTCAGCACCTTGGTGTGGAAAAATGTTAGCATTTTTACCATTTCTTAAGAAATAAACTGACCAGTAAATTGGGCAAATGTGGCAAAAATGACAGTGTATTATTATGCATTATGGTGGCTACTTTAGTGTATTTCTTTGTAATACTTCAAAGATTTGAGCAGAGATGATGGAGCTGTGCAGATACTGGTTGTTTGCAGAACAGCAAGAGGCCTTTCACTGGCACTGTTAGAGTATATGATCATGTCTTCTGTCCAGTGCTGTTCAGCTGAGGCCGGTCCATAAACAGGATTCTTCTGTGCGACGGAGCTCTTTCCAGCTCTAGCACTGTGATGTTGTTTGGCTGAGTGGCACTAAGAAAAGGTCTGGGGACATACAGCGTCTGTTGTGGGCCCCTCTGGGGCCAATACCTTCCCAGGTTCACCCCATTTACCCACACCTGACCCTAAAAGAGAAAAACAGAATTACACAAAACTGGCATGTAGTTACTCAAGTCTAAAACAATAACAAATACTAGATATTCTTCATAATACAAAAAATGCGCCTCACCTTAGTCCATCCATTGAGTTTTACAAAAGTGTCCCATGCGAGGCCTGTAGGCTTCAAGGTTCCTGAGTAGATCATTGGTCCATCTCCTGCTTCCATCCCTGACCCTGAGTGAGCCGCCTGCAGCCAGCCATTAGCTACTGCGGTGTCAATGTCCAGTGGGTAGATTGACCAATCGGTGAGCACGTCATTGCCCAAAATGAGGTTACCCAAGAGACCCTGAAAATAGGTTTTAAATTCTTTATTCATTAATGGAATTTTCTCAGATGGTTTAAAGGGGTCATATGATGTTGCTAAAAAGAACATTATTTTGTGTATTTGGTGTAATGCAATGTGTTTATGCGGTTTAAGGTTCAAAAAACATTATTTTCCACATAATGGCATCCATGCGTCGATTTTGTAGGTATGTGGGGGCGTGTTCGAACGAGCCGTTTTAGGTAGGTGTGGCTGACTCTTAACTTTTATAAAGAATATCTCTTTGGATTTGAGACTTTAGTCTTTGCAACTTTACAGATCTTCTATATGCACCAAGAGCTTGTAACACTCCAAAGAGAAAGGAAAAATTGAAATCGCATCATATGACCCCTTTAAGGAATATTAGCAAATCTTTAACAATGCCATATGTAGTGTAACGTGCCTTATTATCATTGATATAACTTCCAAAATGAACCCTTCCCATGTTCTCCACGAGTATGTCCAACTGATCCCCTTGTTGCCCCGTAACGTTCATCACCAGTGCAGTGTCCCTCTCCATAAGCCCCTGGTACACCTGCTCACAGACAAGTTTCAATCTAAACAGTCTTTTCTGGCAAACATCTGTCATCAAACAAAACCATAGTTAATATGAGAGTTAAATATAGGCCCTAAATAAACATGAATATAACAAGTAAACATCTCTTCATTTGATCATGTAAACTGAAGTGATCAGCAGTTTTGGTTTTGTGAATAACAGAAGATCATTTTAATTTGGTCTCGAGGGTGCACTCAGTAGCTGTGGTCCCTATGCAGTGTGCACTGCTCTCTGCTCACTGAGCACAGGATATCAGTTGAAGTGCACTTGACAATGCGCTGAGGCATGACGATGAGTTTGAGGTATGATGACATGATATACTTTGTAAATAAATAGAATATAAATTACCATACTTTCATTTAATATACTGTACTACCTATGTATAACACAGGATTATTATAGTTAACTAAAACTAAACCCATAAAAACATTTTCGTTACTTAAAATAAACGTTAATTGAAATAAAATAAATTATTAAAAAACCTTTCAGCTAGTTGCCGAGGCAGCATTTCTCATTTTCATTTAGTTTAACTTGACGTACTAAAATAATTAAAAACTATATAGACTACATGTTAAAAACACACAATAAAAATGACAATGACCAAAAACCAAAATAAAAAAACGTGTGAGGTCCACTTTGCAGGGCACTTATGGTCAACTGGAATGCACATAGTATTTTTTTTGTTTTGGTTTTGTTTCATTGGCTCATCTTCATCACATTGGTCTTTATGGACTTTATACTGACACTTACTATTCTGGATGCATTAAGTTTGTTTATTAACTGCTGCTGCTCTACACTAAAGATATTTGTCTTTTTTTTTCTCCACCTCATGCTTGGATTCAGTTCCAGTGTTTTGCATGTGGTTGCTGGTGTGCAAAAACTGTGTTGGATGTATTTTGCACCAAGGGGGCTTGTCATATGATTTCAACATGGTTCCCCCATTGTTCCCACTTCATGTGAAATAAAGCTGATAAGTCTTCATGTGAGTGTACATCATTTTAAACATATATTTTCAAAATGATTATTCCTTTCTTCATATGTAAAAATGTTTACACTAGGACAAAAATAACGGAGTGCACCTTTAAGCTGCAAACAGTGGTTTTACACACCAGTGGTAATACACACTGTTATAATGTCTGACTAACCATGGTGAGAACAAAACATTGTGTTAGCATGACCCAAACAAGTGGTCTGCTCACCCCATTCACAGAGACGTATGCACGATCATGGATGCCATTGAGGGGCGAGATGAGAGGGGTCGGCTCGGGAACATTCCGTGGCAGTGTCGTTCGGTAAAGCATGAAGCCATAGTACTGCACACAGTTGACATAACACAAGCTCAGACCTGCATTTACACTTAACCAAGACCAGCCTCCGAAGCCCAAACCATATATCCACATCTATAGCCATTTATTAGGAAATAAAACATTGGCTTTTATTGGCTGGCTAAACACAACAACATAAAACATTATTAATCATAATTACATTCTGAAAGTAACGTTCATGGACTGTATTAAGTTATTTTAAATATCATACCTGTTTAATCTCCTCAAACGTCAAAGGATATTGAGATTGTACTGGACCTTGGGGTGACAGCGTATCCAACAAGCTGCTAATGTTGCCAACCTATGAAAGAACATAGGAACAGAGTAAGATGGTTTGTATGGACAAGAAATCTTGCAAATGAATAAGGTTTTTCTATGTGAAACGTCCATACCTTCTGAAGTGTAACAAAGCCATAAGCGAACTTTGGGGTGGCTGGTGGCATGGGACCAACTGGAATATCACGAAACTGAAAACGAACACATATTATTATTATTTCAATAGAATGGATGTCTTTTTTGTGATTCAAAAGGTGCTGGTTACAAATACTAGCTAGTATGGGTGAGCATTATTGACAATTACTGTAAATGCAAATGAATGAAAGTTAGTTGACGTAGTTGCAAAGTTGCTTATAGTGAGTAGAATGTCTAAAGTGGACTATCAAAATAAAGAGTAACTGTTTTTATCTTTTATTTATTAATGTCTTAAATTTTTAGCTGCTTCATCATTTTTTGCTGCGTCACTCCTACATTTGAATAACATACAAGAATCCTTTCTATAGTTGCAAAGTAATACACTACCATTCAAAAGTTTCAATACAATTTGTGTTTTAGAAGAAATGAATACTTCTATTCAGAAAGGATGCATTAAATTGATCAAAAGTGAAATTGAAGACATTTATAATGTTACAAAATATTTATATCTAAAAAGGCTGTTCTATTGAACTTTCTATACAACAAAAAATCCTGAAAAATGTATCACAGTTTTCACAACAATATTAAGCAGCACCACTGTTTTCAACATTGATAATAATAAGAAATGTTTCTTGAGCAGCAAATCAGCATATTAGATTGATTTCTGAAGGATCATATGACACTGAAGACTGGAGTTATGATGCTGAAAATTCAGCTTTGCATCACAGGAATAAATTACATTTTCATTAAAATGGAAATCAGTGGAAATAATATTTCACAACATTACTGTTTTTAGTGAAATTTTGATCAAATAAATGCATTCTTGGTGAGCAAATAAGATGTCTTTCAAAAACATTAAAAAAAATGTATTGACCCCAAACTTCTGAACGTTAATATATACAGTCATACCCTCCAGCCCTACCAACTAATACTTCCCTGTAAACTGGATATTGTCATAAATGTATACATGTACATTCAGAGTTACTGTATGTATGCTCTTA